TGCAGTTATATGTGGACTATATTGATTCAGTGATATGAACACATGTTCTTTATTCATATTTTTTAGAGACATAAACAGAAGCTATACCCAGCAGGTAGACCTGCAGAATGTTACCCGAGAGCCCCTGTTCTCGCTAGGAATGTGTATGCTTATTGTGCTGTAATCTTGGGGCGGAGATCTACAGCATTTATGTTACAGACGAGAGAAGAGACGAAAGAGAGGGTCTTGCACACTGAAACACACTGACTTGCAATCCTGCTGTGTCCTCCCTTCCCAGTTCCCTTCTCCAGTCCTAGATTCTCCAGCCCCCAAAGTTCCAGCAGGTTTTTCATGCTGTTTCTCTTAAGCAGTCCTGCCGACCTCCTCTGCCTGGAGTGAGACGGCGTGAGCAGCCTCGGGATGGGCGAACCCTTGGACCTGTCCCCAGGAAAGCTTACTGAGCATGTGGGAGGGGAACTGCTCTAGAATAAGGCAACGCAACCTTTTACCAGCTGTGCCTCTCTGGTTAAGTCGCGGCTCCTCCTTCCTCAGGGAGTGGAGGCGTCTCAGGCCCGCCACACCCACGGTGCCTGGAAAGTGGCATCCGCAGCGGGAGATGTGACAGACAGGCCAAACCAAAGGTCCTCTGCCCTGGTCATAGGAACAATAAACGAATCAGGCCGCCTAGCAGCAGGCTCCCCTGGGACCTGTCTCAGGAGGGGGTATCTGTTACTCTCCCTGAGGAAGTGTCTTGAAGGTGGATTCAGTGTCACGTTCTTGTACCCTGAGGGACCAGCACAGCACCTGGCACAGTCTCGCTCAGCCAGCGCTGGGAGAATAAGGTGGCAGGTGTTTTCCTCCTACGTACCACTTTGAATTCAGGGTCAGGTACTCCGAGACGACCGGCAGTGACCCACGTTTCCCAGTCTGAGTCATCTGTTCTCTGGAGGTGACAACCATGACATGAGCCGCTGGCTCTGTGTGAGGTTTAAATGAAAAGATGTGTCCCAGAGCTGGTTCAGATGAGGTGCATGGTGAAGGGAGGAGCAGAGGTAGGCGGCATCAGACCTGGGGTAATTTCCACTCCACCACCTGCATCTCCTGGGACCGTGAAGAAGCCATAGAACTTCTCTGAGCCTCTTTCCCCGTCTGAACGTGTGAGTAACAGGGCCTGCCCTGCTTGCCTTACAGCTGCATCAGCAAGGCTACAGGAGATGCTAAACAAGATAAAGCTCCTGTAAGGAATGTAGGATTGGTGGAAACAACCGTGGACTGAAATGTAGAAAACCTGGCTTGGATACTTGTTAGCTCTGCAACTTAAGCTACTAAAACACAGTTTCTTTATAAAAAGAAAGAGTTCAATTGGTTTATTTTTATGCTTTTCCGTTAATAGTGATGAATTTGTAGAAATTCTTTTTTTTTTTTTAAGTTCTCATTTTTAAGTTTTATTTTTCCATTGATTTTTTGGATAGAGTGGGAGGGAGGGAGAGAGAAACATCGACATGAGAGGGACACATCGACTGGTTGCCTCCTGCGCAATGCCAGCCAGGGCCAGGGATTGAACCGCAACTGAGGTATGTGCCCTTGATTGGAATCGAACCCACGACTCTTTGGTCTGCGGGCTGACGCTCTAATCGCTGAGCCAAACTGGCCAGGGCATAGACATTCTTTCAGTGTTCATAGAGGATTAAAATAATCACATATCTATAATTTTAGGCCTATGAGTACTAAAAATACTTTGCCCTAAAACTTTTGTCCATCTTCTGAATGATGTCTGAATTTACACACTTCATTCTGCTTTCCTGTATCTAAAGAATGTGGCGGTACTTGGGGGACACTCGAAGCTTTTATCAGTGTTCTGAGTGCAGCTCGTTTCTGTTACCCATTTCGGTGAGATGGGGCGGGGCGGGAGTAACGGAAGACCAGCTTGTCCGCTGCATGGTCTCCCCTAAGTGTGTGCCAACATCGGTGGGTTCGTGTGGCATATGAATTCGTAGGAATGAAAATGCTGGCTTTGGACAAGCATTTCTAGACCCTGCAGCCACGACAGCCATCTCCAGCTCTCCATGTCATAGACGTCCCACCTGTCGTACTTGCAGGACCTTGGAGTTCATCCTCTCGATTTTTTCATATGGGAAACGGGGGCCCAGAGACGCAGCCTGCTAGAGGCCACCGTCATTGAGCAAAGAAAGTCCAAAGTCTCGACGAGTTGCATGTGATGTGCTTGGTTACCCTGCAGGGAGTTAACCACTGAGAAAAATCAACTCTGTCACTTCCCCATAGCTGTCGTGTTTGTTGTAAAATCTGCTACTATCCAAATAGAACCAGGGGTGTTTGTTTTCTTTCAGGTGTGACTTTTTACAGCACTAAGCACTGTTCACTGAGAAGTGGCATTGAGGTCATCAAATCTGAGTTCCTCTGATCATTCTTTCTTAATCTTAGCTAATTTTTAGAGGGCCGATTTTGTTGTTGTTGTTGTTAACCACTGTGCTAAAAGCTTTACATGGGTTATCTCATTTCATCTTCCAATAAGGAAGGTTAAGGCCTATGAGGAACTTCATTTTACAGGAGGGGAAAGCGAAGGTAAGAGAGGTTAAGTAATTGCCCAACATCATATAGCTATTATGTGATAGGCCTGGGATAACCCCAATCAATCTAACTTAACTACAGTAAGTCCTCATTTAAGTCATAGGTTCTTGGAACTGTAGTGAAAGGATATAATGGGACCAGTTTTACCAAAGGCTGTTTGATAAAAACAAGAGTTAAGTTCGGTGGCTCATCAACATTATAATGAAACAACGCTCAGCCACGAACTGGACACTGAGCGTGGTCACTGAGGACCTGCTGCGCTCTTCACACTTGGCACACAGTAGAGAGGACAAGTAGTCGATCTTTTTGTAAATAATAACTGCAGATACTCCAAAGTCACCTGGGCACATGGATTTGCGAGGTGCCCAAGTATGTTCACACTGAAGTACAAGATCTCCATGGGAAAGAATTCCTTACAGCCGTGTATGTACATATGTGTGCATGGATATATTTAAATTTATACATACGTACTGTCATGTCTAATATGTAAGCACCTAGTTTATTAATTTATATCAGTGGGGTAGATTAACACGTATTTATTAGGAGAGTTGTTTTCCACATCACTTGCACATAACAGCTCTTTAATAAATGCCTGTTGAATTAATCCCGAATTAAATGGCACTGGATCAGGAATCAGAAGATCCAGTCCTGGTTTTAACAGCAATTCACTGTGAGAACTGGACCAGGTCAGTTTTGGGCTAGGATCCCCACTTTTCCGTATCTAAAGAGTCCAGACGTGTAAGGGTGGGGGATTCTGCAGTGGTGTGTTCATTGTGGGGTTCACAGGTGGAGTATCCGCTCGGCCACTTGAGCTGGGTTGCCCGGCATTGTCAGGTCCCAAGTGACTCACCCAGATGAGAATATTTCCTCTCTAGAGACTGTTAGAGCGCAGAAGCCCCTCGTGAAAAGAGCAGGAGCCACAGAGGCAGGATTGCAGGAGTGACTTGATCTGAGAGGGGGAAGATGAGATAAGTGATGTGAGTGGGACAGAATCAAACTTACACCAGTTTCCAGATCAGCCCTCAGGATGGAGGGCAGTATCGGCGCTGTGGCAGTGTAGGTGCCAGGGTTTGAAACAGAACGGGAGCTCTGGAAACAGCAAGCAGGGAGCACTTTGCTAGGAGCTTGGGGGCTCTCAAGTTCTGAGCTTTTGTTCATTGGCATCCAAGGGTGTTAAATCCACCCGTGCCTGGTTCTGACTTCTTCCCTCTTCATTCTTCCTGGATGCCCCTAGTAGCCAGATTAAAAATAAATACAAGGAAATGCAGCTTACAAACTAAAGAGAAAGCTGAGGTTCTGAAGCGTCGTGATCTCCAAAGTTTCCCCTTTCTGTCTTTCAGTCTGCTAACTCACTTTTTCTGATAAGAAAACCTTACTTATTTGATGACAGTAATAGAAGTTTACAGCCCCTCTTGTTCAATCCTAAATCCAATAGGGTCTGAAAACACATTTCTAAAATAATTTCATGGCAAACTCATTTGGGGGTAAACATGAATAAAGCCGACAGGGTATTACAATTTCTATTTACCTCACTTAGTGGAAATAGTCACATGCAAGAATATTCGTGTGTGTGATTACAGAGTGCCTCCCCAGACCCTGCTGTGGGTAATACGCAATTTATGGAAAATGCATCTCTCTACCTTTCTGAAATAGAATTCTGAACCCCAAATGCATCAGGCCCCAGGGATTTCAGAGAAGAGATTATCAACCCATATATTGTTTTCCGTAAACGGTGTATTTATTTATCCCTGGAAGAAGTGAATATTTCTTTTCCTTCTTCCTTCACAGTGAAAACAAGCGGGGGAGGGGAGAAATCAAACAAACAATCGTAAACGGGTTGGGGCTCTCGTGCTAATAAACATTAGCTGAAGTTTTTGGGGATCCAGGTCCTCAACAGAAGTAAATATTTTGAAGGACAGACGTCTAGATGTGTACCTTTCCTGCAGCTGAAAAACACCGATTTCGCTGTGGAACTGCATGGTGCTCAGCCCCACCTTTGCAGCAGTGACTCGCGGTACCACAGCGCCACCTTTCTTCCAGATTTGGAATAGGATCTTCACACTGCCACTGGCCGACTTTCCTGCTTAAGCTTTTCAATCCACAGGACCGCAAGGAAACAATTGCTTGGCACTCAAGTCCTGAAGCAAGAGCTTCAAGAGGGCAAGAAAATGTGTTTTCTTCTCTTTGGTCCCTGCTCAATTAAATTTGTAACTTAATCCGATGTTAGGCAGTGTGGGCCACAGGCCCCGCATATAACTAGTTTGCACCTAGTGAGTCATTTTACACACTAGGCGTTTTAATTTACAGCCTCCTGTATTGCAGCACTTCCCTGGGCCTTCCACTCTGTAACCCGATATTCTTCTAGTTGCTGAGGCTTGAAAAATATAGATACACTTTCTTAGTTCCGATTTGTCTTTCTTTTCCATTTTCAGTTGCAAATCAAACATGCAGTTACAGAAGCAGAGATTCAAAAATTGAAGACCAAGGTAAGCACCAATCAATACGTGGAGTTTGAATTGTTCTTTTTTTTTAAATTTATTTATTTATTTTTCTTACAGATGTTTCTCCTTTTTCCCCCACTGATCCCCCCCCCCACCCACCCAAGAGGCTATGAATAAATTCAGCCCTAGAACTAAAGGATTTGTTTCCGTACATTGGAAAGAATATGCATGTCAGAGATTCATTTCCACTGTTGGACGCACAGCCCAACCCCAGGGGTGAGAGCTGCCCCACCAGGGTGTACGCATCCTGTACCCCTCAGTGAAAATTGCACAATACTTTAAAAATACATATTTACACATATGTGGTTCCCTCTGAGCTTTCCCTCAAAGTAAATATTTTTAATTGTTCATGCATTCAAATTACATTTTGGCCACTAATTCCTTATGCACAACCTATTGTACTGTATTTTTTATTTTATTTTAAATAGGTTTAATTGTTTATTTTTCACCTATTTCTCAGAAACAATGTATTTCAACATAGCACATTAAATCTGTATAGAAAAAGATTCTAATTTCTAACAATTAAGTATTATGAAATGTAATATATGAACAATTGCTTGTAGGTGCCAGATGATACTGGAAATTTTTAGACATTTAATTCACACTATTTAAATTTGTGGGGAAAAACCGGTCATGATGAAAGATTTTATGTATTTTTAGTTCAGATATAAGATTCAAAAGGGCATTTTTGATTGGTAAGTTGTAAGGTACTTCTAAATTCCTAGAATTGTGTCGTAATTTCAGAGATATAAAATTATCTTTTGAATTTCTTTTAAAACAACCTTCTTTATTGTTTTTATGGTATTTTTTAAATGAAGACATAATTTCTCCCCCACCACTAACAATCTGTTTTTCTGTTCACGTTGAGCACTTGTTTTGTTTTTTTCCCCATGTGTTTTAAATGGAGATTAATTAGCAAGGCTATTTTGGTTAAATGGTATTCCGAGCTAATAACTCCGCAGCTCTTTAGTCAAAACATGTCTATATATCATTCATGGTATCAGCCAAACTTTGCGAATAATAATTTTTAAATTGGTAGTGGTTGGTAAATAAACTTGAGTGTAAAACATTGCTCATAAAAGATGCAATAAAATCCCAGTCCTGTTTTAAGTTGCTATTGTTTCTTAGCAAAGAATGGAAGAACAGAAGTATTTTTTAAATTGCTGGTTACAATTAGAGAAAAGATTCCCTGTGATTGTAAATATTTTAACAAAGCTTGTATTTTAGACTATATAAACATTCAATTTAGAAAATTCTATAAATTAGTGTTTTATGTTTTTCTCATTATTATATTGGCATATAATATTCGTAGATTAGCTTCCTTTACTATGACTCTTTATGTCTATGTTGATAATATAATTTCTACCTTTCAAGTGTTTTTTACTACTATTTACTTTGTAATCTGTTTTGCCAATAATATTTATTTTAAAATATTCATAAAACATTTATTTATTTATTTGTTGAATGCTGTATGATCTTGGAATGTCTTAGATTTTGAAAGTTGACAGTTTATAATGACTCTGCTTCCTTTTGAACTTTAGAGGCATGTGAAATAGATGAAATGCTTGGTTAAAAGTCAGATAATTATTGTGAATAAATGACCTTGGACTCTTCACCTAAAGGGTCAGTCTTGAGTTTCTGTAGAAATGAGAGGGTGGGACTAGTATATTATCTATGCCTAATAGTCCCCGGAAGCAGAAACCAAAAGTTGCCTTTCTGTTCCACTGGAGGGATTTAAATTCACTCAACAATAATTTATATTTTTTAGTTACATTATCTTTTATACTTTCATAGAGATTCGGGTTTATAAGGCTCAGAACACTGCCAGTAAAATAATGAGCTAAAAACTGTGTCCATATCAATTGAAATAAAGGATGTAGTATCATCAAAAGGGATAAAAACAGAATAAAAATAACTAACATTTATCAGATTATTGTTCTGCACAAGAAGCTGTTTCAAGCACACTGATACTAGAGAACTTAGGTTACTTGCCCAGAGTTTAAAGACCAATTGTGTGATAGCTACGAATAGGGAGCGAGGTGGGTGCTTGGAGCATGAGAGGGGGACACTCTATAAAGTACCTGATTTTCTAATCACTTTGCTGTACATCTGAAACTAGTACAGAATAATACTGAATATAAACTGTAATTGAAACTTTTAAATTAATTTTTAAAAATAAATAAAATGAGAAAAAAAGGACAATAGTGGCAGAACGGGGATTCAAATCTAAACCCTTATAATCACTCCCGAGCCCCCATCACCCTGCCCCCAGGAGGCTACACTGTGTTTCTGCTCTGCCCCTTCCCAGCTCGTCTCTCCTCCCTCCCTTTTCAGTGAACTTTTTTACATATAACTAGATGTTTTAAAACAATCTCTAAAGGAAAACCTGTTGAAATTCTTTAGCTGGAATTAGTCCAACTCCAAAACATTCTTTTACTGCTGGCAGAATTTCATACCACGTACTGTGATGAGAAGGTAATGGGAGTCGGAGTCAAACCCATGTTTTGTCATTTTGATGCGGGTGACCTTGGACAAAGCATGTCACTTTTCAAGGCTTCCATCTTATAATCTACGAAATAATGCAATAATATTTGCTCTTCTCATCTCAAGGTGTTTGGTGATTGAGTATATGTAACAATTGAATTCAATCAAAACCGTACTATAAAATGTGGGGGATTTGGGGTACAGAAGTATCCAGCTTATCTTTGTCTTGACATTTTTTTTTTTTGTATCCAGCTGCAGGCAGCAGAAAATGAGAAAGTGAGGTGGGAACTAGAAAAAACTCAACTTCAACAGAATATAGAAGAGAATAAAGAAAGGATGTTGAAGTTGGAGAGCTACTGGATCGAGGCTCAGACATTATGCCACACGGTCAACGAACACCTCAAAGAGACTCAAAGCCAGTATCAGGCCTTGGAAAAGAAATACAATAAGGCAAAGAAATTGATCAAGGATTTTCAACAAAAGTAAGCAGCTTCTAATGACTAAAGAACACGTGTGTGTGTATAAAGAAGGTTTATATCCAGTACTTTTGTAATGTTAGTGGAATAGAAAAGATGACCTCAGAGTTATCCCTCTAAGAAGCATAGCTAAAGCAAAAATAGACTAAGTTTTGGAAAACACTTTTATTTTTCATAGGGGATTATAATTTGTTTATTTTATCTTTTATTTTCTTGGCAACCAGTTACATCATAAAACTGTTCTTTTGATCATTAATCACTGATAGTAACTGTTAAGACATTTGAATCTCTCCTTTTGGAAACATCCTTGTGATTCAGAAGCAGGAAGCCCAGCTGAAGTCGTGCAGAATGACCATGAGACATCACATCGTACTTGCAAAGCGGCACCTGGGGCCTTGCCAAGGCTGTTTCTGTCTCCTTTCTTAGAAATAGTAACCGCAGGATTTCCCCACTACTGATGGTGGAAATATTGACCAGCAAGACCCCCGGCCCTTCTACTTCACTGCAGTGAGAGAGACCATCACCACATCCTGCTCTTGAATTTCAGCGACTCTTTCTGAGCTGATGCTGCTTTGCTTCCATCTATTGGATCTTGGTGTAATTTCAGGGAGACTGACCAGGGAGATTTTTACGGATTTTTTTCATTGGTTACTTCAGGCTAGTGAGAACAATGGAAAGTGATGCCCGGACCTCTTCTGGTCTCCCAGGCGCAGCCCCCGAAGCTAGGCATGTATGCTAAGGTTCACCAGATCTCTGTTATTTCCTATCGTGGACTTAATGTTTTCAATATTTAAAAGGAAATGCTATAAAAAGTGTATTGTTTAAAAGGGGCACATTGCTCTTTGTAACTATGAATTCAGTATATCACAGTTTCAACTTTTCTTGCCAAAAATATCACAACTAACTCTATGTCATGTATTACAAGTTTTGCTAAATTTGCATATTATATTCCTGGATCTCAAAATGGAGATACCCCCCCACACATTGTCCTCAGGCGTGTGACAGTGCCCCTCAGTTCTGACCCTCCCAGCCCTTTCCACTGTCACCCGTTGGAAACAGTCTTACTATCAGTCTCCTTTACCATTCAGTCCCACCAGTATACTAGATATACTGCTTTGTAAATGTGGAGTTATATCTACCTGACATGTAATGATTTCCACTAAATTACTCAAGGTGAATCATTCGTTGAATGGCTCCTACCTAAAAATGTATGGGTGCTACAAATGGAATCATAGTAAGCAGAATCAAAGCATTTTTCTTTATTTTGTGATCCGTTAAGATATTTTACTTGCTTTCATTACCATATACCTTTTCTCTAACTGCAATTGAGTGTCATTTATTGAAGTCTCTGTCCAGCTATTTATCCCACGGTGCAGTGTATTGTTTCCAATAAGAACGTTCACATTTCCACATTTCTTGGGTGTTTGATACAATCAGATCTATTATTTTCTCTTTAAGAGAACTTGATTTCATCAAGAGACAGGAAGCAGAAAGAAAGAAAATAGAAGATTTGGAAAAAGCTCATGTGGTGGAAGTTCAAGGCCTGCAAGTACGGGTGAGTTACGTGGTCAAAGCCACTGACTGGCAGGGTCGTTTACCTAGTACTTGGAGAGTTTTATACGTGGATTGTTCTCCCCTTAGATTAGAGATTTGGAAGCTGAGGTGTTCAGGCTGCTGAAGCAAAACGGAACTCAAGTTAATAACAACAACAACATCTTTGAGAGGAGAACTTCTCTTGGCGAGGTCTCTAAAGGAGATTCCATGGAGAACGTGGATGTCAAGCAGACGTCTTGTCAAGATGGCCTAAGTCAAGGTTTGTTTAACTAACCACAAAAAAATCGTTTTAAATGACTGTAAACTTCGGCTTTACGTTCTTTTTCTTATCCAGGGATTTTAAAGTTGAAAATGCCTTTCTGCCATGGGAAAGAAGAAAAGGTTTATCAAAGTAGGAATTTATCATTTAGCACTTGTCTCATAAAAAATAAATACTGTGATGTAAAGAAACAAAATTCACACTCAAGCCAGCCACGTATTATTTTAAAACCATCATAACATTGACAGACTTACTAAACTGCCTTAAAGTGATACTTCATCCCATCCAGGGTGAGCATCACTACTTATATTTTAATGAGTAAATCTTGACATTTTTAAGTCACTAAAGTAAATATCTTTTTTCTAACATCAGAAAGCTGAGTATCTGCTTTCAGCTCTTTGAATTCATTAAGAAGTTCTATATAAATTTTGTGCTTTTCTCTTGCTGTCCTATATATAATTCTCGTTTTTTTATTCTGTCAAAGATGAAAACACTGGAATCATTTTCTATATAAGTGGTTGTCTTCTTTCATACACCAGCCATAAATAAATTACTGATTTTCTTGCACACATACACGTGTGTGTATATGAAAGTGAATGAATGTTTTAATATCTACAGTATATTTACAAGTTAGAAAATGTATAAGAATTCATATAAATACACAGGGGATTTGAACTTTTGGTGAAACTAGCTCCCCAGTGTCCCTGGAAAAGGGACAGGAAGGAGCACTGTGCCACAGCGACGCCGGAGGGACAGGCCACCCCGGGCGGGGCTGGGCACACCCTGCAGCCCGGTCCCGACGAGCTCCTCATCCTCTGATGATCTTTCTCGGGTATTAAAATATCTCCAGTGAGATTTGTTTTTGATAAACAAATGTTTAGATCACATCGTTAACTTTTAGGACTAAACTCTTAACCATTAAAAATGAAAAGTATTGGAAATCTTCATTTAACACTAAAGTGATACCTTGAGATTTGAGTTCATTTACTAAGTTTATGTCCTCTTTCTGGGTTTTCCCTTAATAAGATCTAATCTGTACAGAATGCCCCCTGGGCAGCTTGAATCCGAGTGTTCAGCTCCAGCATTACCATTTACCAACGAGCTGTGTGACCTCCTTGTGGTCACTCATCTCGCTGGGCTGGTCTTCGTGTCTATTATATGCACATGTAATAGTAGCACGTCTGTCTTCCCCACCCTACGCGGTGTTTTGAGGTGAAAGAAAGCAATTTATTAGAGCTTTTAGAGGGATACAGTTTTTATATCGAGAACTCTGTAAGATTGATTTCTAAAACAAAATTTCAGAAATCAGAATCTTTTCATGTTTTTGACTATTCTGATTCTTCAAGGTGATTGTACTTTATAGTGCATATGTGTCCCTGCTGTGGCATGCACGACGTATGACCAGCACCCTCCGGAGTCGAATTCACCTCTGCTCATTTTATTCAGTTCAGAAATCTGTGTCTTCTCAAACATCTAATTAATGGTATTTACTAAATTATATGACTACAGAAGATCAACAAACTGTACTTATTAACACACTGGTTTAGATCAAAACCTTACATTCCTTCTGAACCCTTCTTCCCCTTCCACGCTCTCCGTTTTGCCACATAATTATCAGTTTCCCTGGCAACCCTGTCGGCTCACAGTGAGACTCAGAAACTCATTCCTACTGAAACCCATCCCTGCGTGTATGGTAGAGTTGGAATCCGTCATCTCAGACATCAGTAGTGTACATATCAAGAGGTGCTCTTCCAGTTTTGCTGCTGAGGACAGTCAGTGATAAATCTCCTTGAATTTCAATTGCTTAATCACATAAACTCAGTGGCTTGGTCAGTAGCTAGATAGGTAGGCTCTGGAAAGCACTTTTCTAAATTGAGCCTTTGCTTCTGTTGCTAGGGAACGCTGAAGTCCTAGAGGCTTAGCAAAGGAGGTATAACTGCAGACCAAACACAGGCCCTTCTGCATTTAAGGCCCCCTCCCCCTCCAGCACACACCTTTCTGCACACCTTTCCGCAGCGGACGGTCCGGCGGCTGCGGTCAGCCCGCTAGTCCCTGCCCCTTGGACTCCAGCTCTGCCTCCCTACCCCTTAGGGACTGCCCAGTTCTGATTTGCTTTCCAAGCACTGGATGTTTTGCTGACTGGATGAGTTGATTAGCATATTTTCAGGCCATGAGGCAGCTCAGGGAAGCAAAGGGATTATCAATTATAGGTCAGTGAAAACGATGTTAGAATGAAATAGTAAAAGGAAGAGAAAGGAAGGGAGAGTGAGGGTCGGAAAGGAAGACGAGTGGCCTGAGTGGCCGTGGCTTCGTGCCCTCGTGTTCGGCGAGGGCGGAGTTTCCCAGCTGGGGCTGGGCTGCTGTGTGGCTCTCAGTATCCAGTTACTGTAAACGTAGAACGATAACACCACTTTCCAAACCGTGCACGCATTTACCCCCTTAAAGTTATATCTGGACATCATTCATTTACTTCTCTCTATAAACTGAGCCCACTCAAATATCTCATTACACATTTGATGGAATATATACAGTCGTCCCTCGCCCCTTCGCGCTTTGACTTTCGTGGCTTCGCTCTGTCATGGTTTTTTCAAATATATTCATTAAAAAGTTGATTGAGACAGTGAAAATGATACAGCGCATGCTCAGTTGTCTGAGTCAATTATACACCCCTGTATTACAATTAAAATTAAAAGTACTGCATGTATGGACTGTAGGCCTATGTATTCGAGCACCCCAGGAATCCTTCAACGCCAGGTGCACCCGCTGGAGTCTGGAACGGATTAACAGTGATAAACGGGGGACGACTGTATACACATTTATTATTTAATGTTTTTGAATGCTTTTTTTCTTATACTATATAAAGCAAATATAACAATGATCTTTTCACTAAGAGCCCTAAGAAACCCCAGATTCCTTCTGGTGTGTGGTGGTGCGCTGGTCACTGGTGATTTTACACGTGGTCCAGGGTGTGAGCAGTGATTCCGCCCTACTGCCCTGCTGCGCCTGTGTCATTTCTTAGCGCCCGAGTGAGTCTGGTCTATGGAGTTCTCAACATCGTAGGCAGGTGCCTGAAGGGACCAGATAAGTCTGTGGCTGCCCAGCTAGTTAAGTCAGCATTAGACCAAGAGCAGAGAGCAGGCATGTTAGAGAGATCTTGGTAGGAAAAAGGGTTGTAGTCTTCGTTGGATTAGATTCCCTAGAAAAGTCACCTAAACCACTGGCTCTTCCTCAGCTTCCAGATATCCCAGGATCTTGAGGATAATACTGTGTTCAGCTTCAAGTCATTCAAAGGCTGTTTGTTAAAGAAACATTAGGCATATACCATAGACATACAGAAAAACTAGAACTGATAGGTAGAAATTATGTGAAGGTGGATTGTGTTTATCCTGTGGTGAGAGGTCAGAGGTAAGTGCCACACCCTTTAAAACGTCGTTTTGAGCACTGTAAGCCTGGTGGCACACTGACTCGTAAGAGGAAGGGTGGCTACTAGGTAGAAAGAATAGTGTTTAGGCCTGTTAAGTATACAACAAGGTATGTGAGTTATAGGATGGCTGGGATCAAGGGTGAGGAAGATAAAGGGTTTGCTATAAGATATTTGTTGAGGCAAAATAGGACCTGAGTCATGTGTTATCAGTGTAGTCCAAGAATCTCTGTGATTTTTATACAAGATGACAATTATAATCGGTAGAAAAGATAAAGTAGCCGGTATGAATTCAACCAGGGAAGCTCAAGACCTATGGAAAGACAATCAAGGAAACCCATATAAATCAGAAGAGGTAGGAAGCTTCAGTCTTGTAAAAAAAATACCATCGATTAGAATATAAACAGGGCCTTTATTTTTTTTTTTAGAACCTGACAAGTTGTTTCTGAAACATATATGGCACAACACTTGGCCCAGAATTGTCAAGATGCTCCTGAAGAAATACAGTTTGAGGGAACTTGTTCTTTCAGATGCCCAGATTCATTGTAAAGTAATAATGATTGGGACTGTGGTGTCGTCTCAGCCATCAACCAGTAGAGCAGTACAGCAGAGTAGAGTGCAGAAACAGACTGACCCACGTGTGCCAATGTGATGATAATACGGAACTGACCCTGTGGATCAGAGGAGAAGGGATGGACTAGCAAGTGGTGCTGGGAAAAGGAACCTGTCATACAGAGAAAAATGAAATTGGATCCAGCCTGATAGCATTCCTGAGATAGATTCCAAACGGGTTAAAGATTCAAATGTCAAAGGCCATATTTAAGCCTTTTAGAAGGAAATGTAAGAGAATGTTTATATGATTTCTTAAGACACAAAATTCCAAATCATATGAAAAGTTTGATAAATATCAAGGAAATGTGATCTTCAAAAGACACTGTAAAGAACTTGGAAAGAGAAGCCAACAATTGAGAGAGGGTATTTGTAGTCCATGTAACTAAGAGAAAGGGTCATTATCCAGAAGATACTAAGAACTCTCACCAGTCGTAGGAAAACACAACTGTGCGGACAAAAAGCATAAGCAGTCAGTTCACAAAAGAGGAAACCCACAGGTTGGTGAACATAAATCAACATTCAACGTTATTAGTAAAAATAAAGTGACAGGCAAAGATAGTTTCATAGTAATATATGCTTGCCAGCCTGTAGGAAAAAAGGAAAACTCATACAATTCTTGTTAAAAACGGTTTGGTGTTGTCCAGTAAAACAGAAGCTGTGTAAGGTCTGCGGCCCCGCCCATGTGTGTACGTGCGGAGAACCGCGTGTGCCCCAAGGGCAGCTCAGCCAGGCAGGCAGCACTGTCCCGAGGGCTCCCGCAGACAGCCAGCCCGCTCACGCCTTTCAGCATGACGCTGAGCAAACCGCCAAAAAAGCGATTTGCAGAATATTACATACGGTTCATTACCATGTGTATAAAGTTAAAAAGCAAGCAAAATTAATCATGAGATTCCTTATAAAACAGAGGCACCAACTAGAAATGAGGCATAGAGGGCTTAAAACATACTAATTTTATATTTTAGGCTTG